GGCGCTGCCTGCATCGCCTCGGGCGCGAGCGAGATGCAGGACCGCGGGAGTGGCTTTAGCGCGGGGAGAGGCCGGATCCTGGTCGAGCTTGGCCGGATCTAGCTTCTCCGCCCCCGTTAGCCGCCCTCGATGGGGCTCGGTGGCTTCGTTCCGGCGGCCAGCGAGGGCTGGATCCCGAGGCGGCGGCCTCGGACGGCGGAGGATGTGTCGGCGGTTGTGGACTCGCGATAGGCGACGCGGCGGCCGCGGTGGTGGACGATCCGTGCACAAGACGCTTGATGGAGGCCATTGGAACAGATCTGGGTGAAGACATGCTTGCGGCTGCTGCCGAGGCCGGCGATGGCGGCACTATTCGATGTCGTTCCCTTGTTGAAGGCATCGCTGTTGAGATGTTTCAGGCCACTATCTGCTACCTCCGGGGGAAACCCTAGATCAGTAGATCGGATGACGGCGGCATTATTGTGTCGTTTCCCTCTTGTGGCCTCATTCTTGGAGGTGTACACGGGCTCGAGGGACCAGTGGACGGAATACTTGGTGAAGCGGTGATTCATCCTACACATTAATGGTGGCGTATCTCGGCGGCGTGGCACAGCGGAGACTCGGCGCCTGATGTGTGGCGAGGGACTTGCGTAGGAGGGTGACGTTATCAGGCGTCGTGGTGGCGTCGATGGCAGATATGCCAGGCAAGGTGGTGCAGCAGTACAACACTTGAAGATGGATTGGTGGCAGGTGGTTGCGGCGGCCTCATACCCGGCAGGCGTCCTGGTTGAGGAGTGCGCCGGACTGGTAGGTGCCCCATACCCGGCAGGCGTCCTGGTTGGGACCTCAGGTCTTAGATGTTTAGGTTTGGTTGCGATGTCTGTTTGGTATTAGGCCTAGACTATCAGCGCCCCTTCATCTATTGGATAGGAGTATCAACATTTATTGCTTAGACCGTGGCTTTAGTCTTACTGTTGTATGACTTTGTAAGATCTTGTAAAAATAATTAATAAAGTGGACATATGCAGAAGTCGGGGGTCATCCTCCTTTTCTAAAAAAAAGAAGTGTGTCATAACTATGTGAGGGAGGGGACAGTTGTCCTGAAAGTGGTTAGATTGCATGAGACGATGAAGATGAGGGCCCTTTGTCATGGTCGCTAACACAAAAGTTGGAGATGACTAAGTAGAGACTTCTTCCTTGATCAGATTTAGTAAAGGTTTAGTTTTTTCTGCATAGTAAGAGCATCTCCAATAGCTTGTCTATATGGATGTCTATACTTGTTTTTCACGACGTGAGCCCAAAACAGGCGTCCAACAGCTTGTCTATATGGTTGTCCAAATATAGACATCCTCTATATCGACCTCGACAATGTCCACGCTTGGACAATGTGAAGGCGTTGTCTAAACTCAGCTGCAGTTATGATTTCTTCCTCTCCCCAGCGAAGGCCCACCTGTCATGGTCCCTGTATATAGACATTCTAATGCAAAACTGAACGTGTATATGAGGGAATCTTTTTAGACCATTGTCTATCTGAATATATAGACATCCAAATATACACATGCTATTGGAGATGCTCTAACTCCATAGCGGGTGACCGCGCAATGGTCACCACTCTGCGGAACCAACCCGATGACGATATACATACTAAAGTAACACCATAAGCCCCCGTGACTAGCTAGTTCAAGTTCCAGAAACACAAGGATCAATGACTAGAGCTCGCACACTCCAACTTAAATATCATGTGCTTTCATATATTTTTTTGAACTCTTTCAAGCGTTTTATGAGAATATGATGACGCATAAGTCAGATGTATTTGTCTTACTCGGTAATAAAGGACCTAACATGGACAGTCGGGAAAGACACTGGAGTATGGTCAAACACGAAGATGGCAACAAGCATACATGGATCAAAGACAAAAAGCTGCTATTGCATATTTCGTGATAGCAAGTAAAGACACAAGCGGAATATACAGATGACACTTTATAATTTCATCCATAAACATCTATGGATGTTGTGCCACCTCACATTTGGACCATGACCGCGTATTTTTAGAGTAAAAGACTAGGTGCAGTTCAACTGGCTAAATTCCCACTTTATCCTTCCATAAATACCTCCTTATGACGTCGAATTAGGGTTGAGATTTTGTTTGATTGAGGTGTAGCGTTTGCTACTTTTAGCCGTAGGCACAAGTCCCGATGAGACCTCTTGTACTACGCAGCATCAAAACCCTAGTTTATCAATCAAGTACTCCATCTTCTAAAATTCAGATTGCATGTCTTAAATTCTTGCTCGTTCTTAGTCCACACGTAGGGATTCATCTTTGTATTAGTTTCACCATGTTTCCAACATCCTCAATATCCATATCAGAGTCAGTTTAGCAATTGCTAAGGCACACCGTCTACTGTTTGTTGTAGTCAGATCATCAAAGTCTCTCCACCAAAATCGATACTATCTCATCGAGATATATCGAACAACCGTGTACCTATCACAACTCCATGGCGGGACGTGAGGGCTTTGTTGGGAACATGTTGGGTTTGTTATTGCACGCACATTTTTTTTTGTTATTGCACGCACATGCCTTACACGATAAAGGGGGTGGGCCCAGCCAAGTGTATGTGATCCTCTCTTTCTCCTACAAACTTTCTCTGTTCTACAGGGGAGAAGGGCCACGCAGGTGTGAATTTTTCGAAGTTTTTTCCCATGCGAAGCTTCAAAATTTTGAAATTTTCAAAATGAAAATTATAAATCTTGGAATTAAAAAAATCTGAACATCCAATTCTCTAGAGTTGCTTTAAATTTGAAAATTATGCAATTCTAAAAATTTGATTATTTAAAGAGGAAATTTTGAGAGTATAATTCCTCAAAAAATTAATTTTGAATTCAAATTATGAAAGATTGGACACGATTTCTTACATCAATATACAATTTACGGAAATGCCACAAAATAAGATATCTTAAAAGAAATAAAGAAAACAGGAAGCCGGAGAAAGCCAATGCAGACAAGAAAAGGAAACAAAGAAAACTGAGGAAAGAAACAAAAAATGAATTAAAAAGGAAAAGAAAGGAAAAAACAAAGAAACCGAAAAGAAAAAGAAAAACCAATGGAAATCAATAAAGAAATGAAGAAAACCAATGAAAAACAACAAAACAGGTGAAAAAACAAAGAAACACAGCAAATCAAAGAAAACCATTGAAGAAATAGAGAAAACCAAAAAAAAAAAACGAACGAACAGCGACCCGAGGGCATCGACATAGCGAGCGCATTGTGCGAGCGAACGAACGGGCCGGCCCACTGCTATAGCGTGTAAGGGAAAAGCTTCAGCGAGACAGTATATACTCTATCTATAAGCGATATATAGGCCCTGTTTGGTTCATAAGTCCTAGGACTTTTTCTAGTCCCAACTAAAAAGTCCCTAGTCTCTAAAAAGTCCCTCTATGTTTGTTTCCAAAGACTAAAAAGTCCCTAGTCCCTTCCTAGAGGTTATTAAATGACCATGTTGCCCCTAGTATATAAAAAATTAACAATCAAACAACACCATGGGGTGGCGGGCCAATGGATGCATGGAGGGGCATTGTTGAAAAAGTCCCAAAAAAGACTCTCCTTGAAAGTCTTCTTCATTTAGTCTTAAATGCCTAGTTTAATCCCTAAAATGGCCCTCCCGTTTGGTAAAAAAAATCTCTAAAAGGGACTTTTTCTAGTCCCTACACAAAAAAGTCACTGGAAACAAACACCCCCATAGTTGTCGGGCCGCGGGAGGGGAGTGCAAGACAAAGCGTCCGCTTGCCTTAGGGAGCGCGAAGTGTGCTGACACAGTAGCATCACTTTGTTACCATTTTAAAACATCACCTTTTAGAAAAAGTTCACGCACTTCAAAATAAATCATGTGATACTTTTAAAAACATTTTAATACAATGTAAAAAAATGTTCAATGTGTATTTAAAAATATATTACACATATATTAAGAGGGTTTCAACACGTTTATTTTAAGAAACAATATTCACCATTTACTTAAAAAATATTCGAAATATATCAATATACAAAAAATGACAATGTGTGTTGAAACAAAACATTAAAAAACCTGGAAGAACTGGATGAAAATCGGAGAAGAAGCCAAAAAAGCGAAAAATACTAACAGGAAAACGAACACATGTTTGAAAAAATGATCATGTGCTCGATCTAGATCAAATTTATTATTTATTAAGGTAGATTAAATTTAGGGCTTGTTTGGGATTGCTCCACTCCATCAAATCCACTTTCGAATAGTTCAACCAGGAGTACCAGCTTGACCACAGAGCAATTTATCATGTTTGGCTTTCAGCTAGTTGCAGCTTTACTAATAGAAAACTTATATGGGAAAAGTCTATTTGATAGGGTGACGTGAGAAATAAAATGAAGGGGGTATCCACTACTGGTGGTAATGGTGGATAATTTTTCTTCAAGCTCCACAAGAGCTCTTTGAACTAGAGTTTTTGAAGCACCCCGTAATAGCTTCACAAATAGGGAGTTGTACCAAGTTTTAGATTATTGTTTCTTTTCTGAAGTGAGACATCATGGAGCTACCTCATTTGGCTTGCATCTCTTTCAGAGCGGAGCTGGATTTTAGGAAAAAAGAGCAGTTTCAAACAGGCCCTTAGCAGGGTGTTCCGAGTCGATCCCTCCAACAGTAGGGCGGCCCAAAAGGGATTCTCAACAAAAAAAGGTGGCCCAAAAGGGACACGGGCTTGACCTTACCCCCAACGAATTCTCTCTCCCAGGAACCAAGAAAGAAAACCCTAACCCTGGCGTACGTATCGCCGCCGCCGCCCCAAAATTCGCCAGCCCCGAATCCGTCTACATGACCTAATTTCTACACCCCCAAATCCAATTCGGACTCGATGCTCTAACAGTTTATTTACCGAGCCGGCTCGATCGATCTCTTCATACGAATATTTCGTTTTTTGCAGATCCGTAGATTTGCAAATCTAAGTGATTCCTCCTGCAGAGGGCAAGTTCGATCTACGAATTTGGTGTTTCAGGACTCATGGCTCTCTCTCACGAGGAGGTGGAGCAGGAGGAGGAGGAGGAGGAGGAAGACGATGATCTTGAGGACGGCCCCCTAAGCCCCGAGGATGGTAACATTCCCCAATTATACTCTCAAATATTTTTCCCTTGTTGGTTACTTATTTCCTTGGATGGACGCGGTTCCAAGCTACTACATGTGCGACTGGTTATAATTTTTATTATTAGTTGATGTGTTATTTTCCTTGTATCGTCATCAGTGCTGCGATTTGTCGAGAGTGTTGGTTCCGTGGAACTTGCCAAGAGGAAATTGTTGATGAAAGACACTATGGGGGTTCCGCCCGAACCCTATGACTGGCCCAACATCTGCCCGCTCCCCGGGTCGTCCAGAGATCGGAGGTCTGCGTGTGATCTTTACTGGCACCAGGCCTACCAGATGAATCAAGTCTCCGAGAGTAAGCAGCTCAACTGCAAGCTCTCTCTCCGTGTTACAATACAATACACATTTCTGTCTAGATTGTTTTTGCTGCATCATTCTTGTGTTTAATATGTTGCTCCCTGCCTGCCTTTGAATGAATAGCTTGCCTGCCTCCTATGCGGTATACTCGCTGTTGCAATGAAGCTTCAACTGGGCAGCAAAGGTGTTTTCACAAGCCGCGCCCTATACTCCAACTCTTTTCTACCACGGTGCATACCTTTCTGGAAGATTGCACCAGACCAGTCGAGGTATACGGTTATATTGCGGTCCGAGATGACGAGGATTATCGCCGCAATTATCTTTTCAACCGATCCCGAGATGACCCGCTCACTATCAACTCGGTAATCGTCAAGTTTTATTTATTTATTTTTTAACTGTTTAGCTGTGTTCTAAATACAGCATATGTTGCCATGTTGGTATGCTGACTCTGCTTCTCGATTAAATTTCAGGCCGGCGACTATCTGCGCTTGTTGAGCCCCAAAAGAGGCATCTCGATGAAATTCGATTGCCTAGTTGAAGTGGATATTAGAACAAAGGCATTGTCGGGTGATAGTACAGATGATAAAAATCTTGTTGATGGATGCTTCGACCTAATCGAGGGCCGGTCTAGTTTCGACGTCCTTTCTAGAATCAAAATGGAAGGTGAACATGGTGCTCTTGTTTTTAATCTTATCATATTTCGAGACAGTGTCGAGGCGACCATACATATGAACTTTTTGGAAGTGCCTGGAGATGGGTTTGATATAAAGATGTGTGGGTATACTGCCATCTGGAAGAACTTGTATGCCTTCATAGACGATAAAGAATGCGACTGCAATAGCTTCGTGTCTTCAACTGGGAGTTTTTCACAATATTTTGTAGCAGCTGTGCAGATGGATGACACATTGTTTATTGATTTTATGGAGGGGAGTATGCCAATTTCATTTAAAGCGGATATTCATGGCAGCGAAGAAAAAGAATATTATTTCTGTAATAGTGCTGTGGTGTCTGTGAAAGTGTCTTGGTCGACAGTCCTCTACTAAGGAATATATATATATATATATGTTGGAGGTTAACTCAATAGTATTTGCAGAGGAAGAGAACAAAATGTGTGCTTATTGGTGTACTATTTTAGCATGTCTTATGAACTAGATGTTAAATCAAGTTTTCATAGCTCAAAAATACCAGAAGACTTGCATCATTCTAAATTTTAAATGGAATTCTTCCAAAAGCTAATTTGCAAGTCATTTATTTGAGTTCTACGTTTTCTTTTGGGTTTTCTTCAACTTCTTATGCAAGTAGTAACCAGTTTTGTTTCCCACTAAGAACTGGAGGCTCGAAACCACTTCTTGGTATGTTTAGTCAATGAAAAATATAATTCAAGTTTTTTCTCTATCCTTTTACCCTGAAAATATTTCAAAGCTGCATTGAAATTTCATCCGCTAAAACCTCTACAAGACTAGTTTTCATTTTAATGTCATTGCTTGAATAGTACCATTGAAAAACAGAGGACATCACGCTCTTAATACCACAAACCAGAGGACATCCATGCTTGTCTGCTGGTTCATTTGGAATGGGAGAAATGCTAGAGTTTTCAGGAAGAAATCGACGCCGCCATTCTACCTACTCGAGCTTATCCAAGACGAGGCTAATAAACTCTGGACCACCGTGGGGGCTAGGCACTTGAGCATCATCATGCTGCGAGAGTAATCCGCTTGTTGTTTGTTTGTTTGTTTTCTCCTCATGCTATTCTGTGGAGACACTGTTATGTACTCCCTTCGTCCCGTAATCTAAGATGTTTTTTTCATTAGTGTAGTGTCAAAAAACGTCTTACATTATGGGAAGTCTTTTGCCTCAGTTTAGAAAAACATTCTATACTATCAGTATGAAACTATGAACCCACATTACGTCTCACAAGTCTTAGATATGATGCTGAGTTTTGTCAAGTTTCATGTATGGTATCCGATGAAGCTTATTTAAGTTTGAAAGTCTTCCTCGTCAACACTTTTCTCTAATCGTAGCTCTAGCCTTAGGCGCTCCCCACCTCACTGTAAAAGGTACTCCCTCTGTCTCATAATATAAGAACGTTTTTAACACTACACTAGTATAAAAAGTGTTTTTATATTATGGGACGGAGGGAGTAGTTATTTCTAGACTGATTGATAATCAAATAATAAAGCCCCGCTGCTAGCAGGTCCTTTTTAACACCTTGAAATTTGTTTGACAAGTGCCATACATATTAGTTGTGTGTGGCTCTCCAAATATGGTTGGTTGGTAGCAGAGTTGCAGGTCGTGAAATGATCGTAGTTATCGTTCTCACCGAATGACCCCCACCCCCCTCATCAGGAACCAATATTGATGCTCACACCTATGTTGAGCCCTTCCCACAACTTAAGGGTCACAACTAAACACGCAACGAACTCATCCACGTCTCACATTTTATACTATATATGGCCCTATTTTTTGTCACTCAAGTTTATATGATAACCTAAGTTATCTCAAGATTTTCTTTTCAGGCATAAGTTGCATCAGTAGTTCCCACGAAAGAAAGGAAGTTGCATAAACAATTTATCTAACATTCACAAACATTTATATGTAGAAAACAATTTATCTACATATATAGTTCAGAAAAATATATTGCATAAATTGGAAAAAAAATTGCTAACCATGATTTATAAATTGTTTGATCTGATTCTATACATTGATGGAAAGTTAGGAGAAAAACGTGGGTCTAAGAAGATTATAGAACAGCCTGCTTCACATGTAACAGCGTACGTTACATTTAGGAAAAAGGACTTTGTAATAATTATAGCACAACTTCACAGCAACTATAAACGATACTGCAATACAACGGAAGAAGGAAACGTTTTGCAGACATAGATAGAATGGAAGCAACTTGGCAAGAAAGGGCAACCATGTGCAAAAATATATATATATGCAAGCACAACAGCACAAGAATCTGCAACCATGTGCACATGGTACGCCATCAAATTATGCTCTGTTGTACATAGCAATTCGGTCTGGCTTTGGTGAGTTCATTAATTTTGAATCTGGCAGAGCGGCAAAGAGCTTCCTCATCTCATACTCTCATCTGCAACAACTAACTAGGTAAGACAGACAGATGTTTCGGATAGCAGTAGCAGCGTATGTCCGATTCTGTATCGCGTCTTGTGTTCTCAAGTTGGCAGGTTAGTGTACAGCAGCAGCAACGTTTTCCTTGGCAAACCCTGCCTTCAGATTTTCTTCAGTTGGAGGGCAGGCCAGGCAGTGGACAAGGAATCGGACAAGGGCAGTACAGATTGCATGCTGCCAGAAATCCTGGAGCCAGCTTTTCTGCTTTGCACCTTACCTGAAAACACAACATGCCGTTTATGTAACATTTAAAATAAATCAAGAAACTGCTTCTGAGACTGCGATGGGCCCAGTGTTCTAACTACTTTATGCCTCTGCTTCATATGTTTAAACATTGTCGACTATAATGTGGATAGGCCCAGTGTTCTAACTACTTTATGCCTCTGTTTTCTTTCTTCTCTTTTAGGAAGACAGATTAATCAATTACCATTGCATCTAACTGTGGGATAGGAAAAGGGTTTTGCATCTGTTAGATAGAATGAGACTGAATATATAAAAAAGAGTCTTACTTCGGCAAATCTAGTGGCTAGCAACTGCATCTTTCAACAAGCTTATCTTAAGCCCAGTCCCAGTCCCACTCATAAAATGAGTTGACAATTCTGCTTCCTTGGTCGCCATGAGATGTACCTAAAACAATCATTCGACGGAGATGTAGTAACTCAATGAATATATCCTCTACCGGCCAATTTAAAGTCAAGGAAAGAAACAAAGTACAGTCACAACAGAGAGAAGCAAAACAATCAGATAGTCTATCTTTTTTTTTCGAGAAAACGCAAATGGCCTTTGCGTTTCATTGCATTGGAAAGAGAGGGTATTTACATCCTCCTAGGAGGCGGTTTGTACACACAGACAACAGAGGCTCAGTGCACGTCCCAGGATGATGGCAAAACGACCCTGAGCCCTTGAGCTCCAGCCTTTGCCCAACATCTGGTCTCGTCTTTGATCCTTTCTACAAGCTCGTTCAGCGATGGGTACACATGGTCGAAAACACACGCATTTCTATGCTTCCAGATCATCCACGGTACCAAAAGGGCCACGGATTTGAGCGCCTTGCGGAACGCTGGTGGTGTGTGTTCCTTTGCGCGCAGCCACCAATCCATGAGCGAGCCGTCGTGCTCGGGCGCCGGCGCCGGCAAGCGCAGCCAAGATAGTACCTCCTGCCATGTCTGCTTAGTGAATGGGCATGTGAGCATCAGATGCCCGATCGTCTCCGGTTCTTGATCGCACAGAAGGCATCGCGGGTGATGTTGCAGGCCACGGCGTGCGAGTCTCTCCGCGGTCCAACAGCGATCTTGACATGCCAGCCAGTGGAAGAATTTCACCTTGGGCGGTGCCCAGCTCCTCCAAATGAGCTTCCAGGAGTGGCAGCCCGTCGCGCCCTGGAAAGTTGCCCGGTAGCAAGACTGGGCGGTGTAGGCGCCGCTGGCTGTCCAGCTCCAGAGCAGCCTGTCCGGCTCATTGGACAGCTCGACAGGTTGCACCAAGTGCCAGAGCTGAAGGTACTGTCCAATCTCTGGGAGGCCTAGCAGGCCATGGATGTCACGTGCCCAACTATTGCCGGCCAGGGCCTCCGCCACCGTTCTAGATTTTTGACGTTGCTTGGGGATGCACTTGAGGAGCCTCGGCGCAAGCTCGCGGACGGATTGGCCACCAAGCCAGCGATCCTCCCAGAACAGGGCTGTCCTGCCATCTCCAATGGCCATGGTCGTGGAGGCGTAAAAGAGCGCACGCTCCACCGTCGTAAATTGCGTGTCCAGCCCCTGCCAGGCTCGAGTAGTGTCCGTGCGCGTGAGCCATAGCCAGCGCAGCCGAAGTGATAGCCCCGTGCGCTCGAGGTCCCGGATGCCAAGGCCGCCATATTCAAGCGGGCGGCAAACCTTACGCCAGTTGACGTGGCAATGTCCACCGTGGGCATCCGCGCGGCCGGCCCAAAGAAACCCGCGCTGAATCTTCTCTAATTGTTTGAGGGTTTTCTTTGGGGGCGCAAGCGCTAGCAGTTGATGGATCGGTATTGCATTAAGCACCGATTTGACGAGCGCTAGCCGTCCCGCTTTGTTCATCAGCCAAGCTTTCCAGGAAGGCAGCCGGCCCGCCACCGCGTCGACGAGGGGTTGCAGCTGTGCTGCGGATGGGCGGCGAGTGGAGAGCGGGATGCCCAGGTAGGTAACCGGCAAGGCCACGACGGGGCACCCGAGGGACTCCAGCAGCCCCACTTCGTAGTCGCCGGCGTGAAGGATCGTGGCCGAGCTCTTGGCGTAGTTCACACGGAGCCCAGAAGCCGTACCGAACACGTCCAGGATGCCTTTGACAGCGGCGATCTCCTCAGTAGTGGCATGACAGAACATCATCACATCATCGGCGTAAAGAGAGATCGCCGGAATGGCTCGTCGGGGATGCAGCTGCTGAAGGATGCCGGTCTGTAGGGCGTGTCGCATCAGCCTCCCAAGGGTGTCCACCGCCAGCACGAAGAGCTGTGGGGAGGTGGAGTCACCTTGTCGTAGGCCGCGCCGGTGCCAGATTGGCGGGCCGGGGACTCCATTGATCATGACCCGCGTGCTTGCCGAGGAGAGCAGAATGGCCATCCACTCCCGGAATCGGTCCCCAAATCCATACTTGCGCAGCACCTCAAAGAGGAAGGGCCACGAGATGGAGTCGAAGGCACGTGTGAGGTCGAGCTTGAGCATGATCCTGGGTGCGCCAAGTTGGTGCAGCATCTTGAGGGACTGCCGGACTAGGACGAAGTTGTCATGGAGGCTGCGCCCGGCAATGAATGCATTTTGGTTGCTGCTTACAAGGGTATCCAGCTTGGGGGCAAGGCGCAACGATAGGACCTTCGAGACGATCTTGGCCACAATGTGGATCAGGCATATCGGCCGGTAGTCACCAAGCGAGTGGGCGTCCGCGCGCTTAG